GGAGAAAGAGAGCAACCCTGGTGAACATCAATATCCTGTTCTCCCTCCCTCTTGACTAAACCGTAGCCCATTGAGTTCAGTGAGTTCTACGATTTTTTTATGGCTTTGTTTTTGATTGTCAAACATATATTGGCCGATCGCATTCACAGTGAATAACCTCGTGTGTTTTCGATTGAGATCGCCCCTTATGATGGAGACGTTCTTTGATCGCATGAACATATTGCACCGAGTACTTTTGTATCTTGGATATTTTGATCACACTTTTCCCCGTTTGTAGTCTTCATACGGTTGACTACGACAATGAGTTTGTGTCACGAGTTCCCGTGAAAGCTGTCACGTTTTATCCAGAAGAGATTTTCGAATACCGCTTGGTATCTATACCATGAACTCCTGTTTTTGTCACAACCAGATCCTCTCTCGAACGGAACTGAACTACTATTCCAAACAGCCAATTAATGGCTCTCTGCACGGCTCGTTGAACGTGGACACACTGTTAGTAAACATTAATCCTGGTACAATTCAACTGCTCTCACATATTGCTTCTTCGATGCAAACCGCTGGCGCCTCGACTCGTCCTCAAGAACCAGCCACATCGTCTCCCGGGACTGATTCTGTCGGAAAGACCTCATCGGTTTTATCTGATCCGTTGGCCAAACGCAGGAGGTCTGGGAAGGAGGAAAGCTTTTGGGATCCGGTTCCGTTGGAGGATTTAAATTTGCCTTATCTGAAGGAGTATGGTATGTTCCGTGCGATTGGGATAGCATCTTTCGGCTCCAGAAATGCTATTTCGTTTGGCCCCTGTTTCATTGTTGTTTCCCTACGAAAAAACAGTCTCCTTTTGTGGTTGATACATGTATTTTGTGCACTGGTCTGTCTTCACGCTGGATTGTTGCATAATCTAGTCTGCTGCGTGTGGCTCAGATCATTGCACGCGGATATTATTTACCGATATACTGTTATTGACATTTGAAACGAAAAGATCCGCTTTGGGGAACATGCATTTTTGTACTTCACCTATCGATGAACTCATCTTCGTGTCGTTTGTATTTATCCTTTGGACGATTAACTAAATTGTTTTCTTTAATCTATGGTGTTTAATACAAAATTCGGTTTCCCTTAAGTGTGATTCCTACAAACTCCATCAAACTGTTGATTTGTTTCAACTCATCATTTGAATCTTATGCAATGAATGCCATCGGTGTGTCGTCTCTGTTTTTGTTTCGATGGATTCGGCCTAATATATGCACGATTTTTCTGTGCGCACAGATTCTTCCCACAGAGAGTCTGACGACGGTGCTACTCCGCCCGGATGCGATGTATCCAAAGTACTGGAACAGATGGAAGAGCGTCGTGTGGATCGTGTAAGTTCTGTCTGTCTCTCTCGCTCACCATTGTCACCGACGTTTGTGTGTGTGTTTCCTCATTGTTCGAGTTGTGCGCATCACACCAGACGGAGTTTCCGCCATTGAACTGTTGTGCATCTTGTTTGGTAAAAACCCTATGTTTGTGATTAAGTGATTCGTCCATTGCAGTGTTGTGGACAAACAAATTGGGGAGGTAATGTGATATCTCATTCCTGCGCTCATCGTCTGTCATGTTTTCTGATAGGAGGACAAAGATATTGTAAGTTTGTGTTATCCCCATCTGTCCTGTGAGTGTGCATGCTCGTCTTGTCACCGTTGTCTTGTATTAGACATCTTTGCGCTGCCTGTTTCTCGTTCACGTGGTTTGTTTCGTGCTTGGATCACTGCGTATCCTGGTGTTAGCACCACGTCGTTTTTGCTCCCCCGAATCACGTTTGCACAAGCCGCTACTCATTAGTAGCAATAATCTTTTGTACTTTTTTTTTCGGAAGCGAATTGTTTCTGTCCTTTTACACGGTAGCCCGTTATCCATCCGCTCGGCGTTTGTGAGCAAGCAGTTGCAGTGCTGTGTTGAAGACGCTAGCAATGTTTTTCGGTTTTACGTCTAATTGATTGTCAGTGTCTTACTTTTTTGTTCAACACGGCTCTGCGAGATGCAATCAATATGATTAATGCTTCCTGTGAGATCAATCGAACCGATTCCATCCCGTCTGATTCATGCACACCCACGCGTATTCGACCGGTTTTTTTTCACCCGCTTGTTGGTTGATTAGTTGACGAGAACTTCATTTGTTTGTAAAATGTATCGTGCGCACGCGTTCGGCTTAAACAAATTCCCTAGGAGTGAGACCCATACAACAACCACAACGCTACACGAACCTTGTATCTGTGTTCTCGCGTAGAATGAAGAAGAAACATTTTACACGCGCCCCGTGTCCTCACCTGTTTTTTTTTCTTTTTAAACTCATTTACCATTCGTATTCAGATCGTGCTTCGTCTACAAACCGTGCGAGTTGTCCTGGAGTCCCAATTAGGAACCAAATCCATGCCCATGTTGGTATTGGAATCGTCCATGGATGGCGAAGTGCTCAGTCCAAGTACAGCTGTAAGTTCCCCCTAGTAGGCCTTTTGCCACATGTTCACCAAAACTGTTACTTTTCGTCGAAACCTACTCCGCCCTTTTCTTATGTCTTTTTCTTTGTATCCTTTCAGCTGGAACTTAAAGTCACCCTGGACATGTCGCTGTCCTATTTCAACGATGCTTTAAACCAGTGGGAACAGATCCTGGAGACCTTGCCGGATGAAGGAGACCGAATGTGGTCTATCCAGTTCGAGTTTTCCACAACAAATCTTGAGGATCTGTTGGCGGAAGAAGATATGGACGAGGTTGGTTGTCTTCAAACTTCCACCAACACGATTTTACTCGTTTCACGAGACAATTTGGAGATCACTGTGTCCAAATCCGCATTGGATATGCTCAGCAATTTAGGTCAGGTATGTTTGTACCGAAATAACCGGAAATGAGCACATGTTCACGTGACGTCAGTCTGGTGGTACTGTGATCAATGCGTGTTATGTGGCGGCGATTTTCGCGCCGCTTTCTCCCCGTGTTTACTGCAGTTAATTTCACTGCGTTGAACCCATGTTTCTAACATTTCTCTTTGTCTCATTCGATTGAACGTAGTATAGTTTCGAGCTAGGTCCGATGGTCGTATTTCTCACTCCTGCATCAGCTGATTCTGTTTTCGATCTCGGTCATACGGACATTCTTCTATTCATTATTGCACCAATACGTATACATACCTCAATGCTCGATAGTTCCCCGCCTGACCATCTCCTCATTCTATCTTCTTTTGTGATCAGTCTTTTGAAGCTGCCTATAAACGCGAATTTATTTCTTCCGACTATGAACTCGGTGGACAGTCGGTTGCCCCGTATCGTATCCAAAATCGAACCGGCTTGCCCTTGACACTGCGTTTGGAAAGTCCTGGACTCCAGATTTTACAGTTAGGTGACAACAAATTCACCTCTCGATTGTCTAAGGTGTTCACCACCAATGATCGAAGGCTTGCGAACACGGAGGGCGCACCGGTTCCAAATGAACATCATGTTTCTATTGCTTCAAACGGTCCTAACATTTTGGATACGGAATCGCCATACCATTTATTGAATCCTGGTGAAGAGATTGGTTACATCGAACCTGTTCGATCATCACAGGTAGGTTACATGCTGAAGCACACGCAACACAGTTTTTTCCCCCACCAGTCTACTTAACTACCGATTGCTCAGGTTGTTATTGTTGTACTGTTCCACCGATCCCTCCATCAAGCTGTCTCTTGTGGACTTTTTATGTGCATGAACAGAGTCTTGTTGTCTTGACTTAACTTTTTCTCACTCCCCCAACTCCCCGCTGTCTCCATACATCCCATATTTCACTTATTAAGAAAACTCTCACTTTGCGTACTCTGACCGATCGTGCACCGAGATATGCTGTTCGTGTTGCTTGGTCTGATTGGAACACGGCCCAGCCTTTAGCCACCCCGGAAGCCGTGTTACCTCTGAATGCCGGGGGAAATAGTCTGCTCCAGTTGCCCAGCCCGGCGCCTGTTTCGACTCCGATTCTGCCTGACGGCGAAAATATCTCATATCCCCTGATGGCCCAGGTGACCACGTATCTGGGTATGCGTGTGATCACACTTCGGTCGACCATTCGCGTAAGTCTCCTGGTTACTGTTCTTGATTTAACTTGCTTTTTGTGAAGCCAGTTCTGTTTCTCCGAACAGGTTTACTTTGTTTCTGTGTTATGCTATTCGTGTGTCACTGTATTAGTCGGCATTACCAGTGTTATGTTCCGAAAAGGCGGTGCTGGTCGAGGAGAGTTCTTTATTGCAGAATACAGATTGAACGGCACTAATTTTGCATGCATAACACGAAAAGCTCGTCAGAAACATCCCTTCGCAGCACATCGCGACACCTGGGGCAATGGGTAGAGCAGGCAGTGTTTATTCTTCCCAAATTTATTACTTGGTCCTTGATGGTCTTGTTCTATTTTTAATCACCGAAAGTTACTGACTACTCACAAGTGAGTAGTATCTCACAACACTCCTCCACCCGGCGGAAAGGCTCTCTGCATGTCTTG